GGCCCGCCCTCCCCCAACTTGCCAGCCCTGCAACCTCAGACTAGCTTGAGAAAGGAGGAGCCAAAGCCCAGTCGGGGGGAGCAGCTGAGGGCTCCTCTGCAAAGAGCCAGCAGCGCCGAGAAGCGTGCGCGCCCGGGCTGGGCTGGGCTGGGGCCCTTGTGCAGAGAGCGGGCAAAAAACATTACCGAAAAAAACAAACCCAAAAAGAGGGAAGGGCAAAGCTGTGTGTGTGTGTCCCCGCGTGCCGGGGCTGGCCGGATGCTGCTGGGTGAACGCCACCCAGCCGCGAGCTGGTGGCAGGTGCAGGCACAGCGCCCTTAGGGTAGGACACCGGGGTGGCATGGCACAGCCTGGCGGGGCTCTGCGGGCGGGGGGTGGGGGATGTGCCACCTTGTATTAGGCTTGCGATTTCCCACTTGGTCTAATAAAAGGTATCATGTTGGGAGCCAAGAGGAATAGGTTTTTTGTATGTCTTTTTTGTGTGGGGCTTTAACTAGGCCACTGGGGGAAAGTCCTTTGCAAGCTGTCGGGCACCAGTAGGCATGGGGAGACCACGGTGGTTACTGGGTTGGCAGTCGTAGCTGTGTTGGTCTACAGCAGCGGTTCCCAAACTGTGACAGATTGCGTGCCACCAATTTAAAATGAAATGACCTTAAGTACCACCAGCAAAATTTTTGTCGTATTAAGTCATTATAATACATCTGTTAATGCGTACCACTGACAGGTTGTCCGGGTACCACTGGTGGTACGCATAGCACAGGTTGGGAACTGGTGGTCTGCAGACATAGGCAGACAAGGTTCTTTGGGTAGATGAGATATCTTTTATTAAACCAACTAAAAATTGTTCAGAAAAATTGTTCTTTGCAAGCTTTTGGGCACAAGCACCCTTCTTCAGGCATGGGGAGACTGCAGTAGTTATGGGGTTGGTGGCCATAGCTGTGTTGGTCTATGTGTACAGACACAGGCAGACAAGGTTCTTTGGGTAGATATGATAGCTTTTATTAGACCAACTAAATAATCAGAAAAAAATTGTTCTTTTCTGCTACTCTGTCCTCTATCGAGATGGAACCCAACGTCCGTATGTCCTCTATTTTTCTCTTGAAGGGAAAAATAGATGACATACAGGCATTGGGTTTCATCTTGATAGAGGACAGAGGACAACCGTACTGTCCTATACGATGATCCCCCTAGCTTTCAGGCACAACCAACAACCCAGTAACTACAACAGTCTTCCAATTCCTGAAGAAGGGTGGTTGTGCCTGAAAGCTAGGGGGATCATCGTATAGGACAGTACGGTTGTCCTCTGTCCTCTATCAAGATGAAACCCAATGCCTGTATGTCATCTATTTTTCCCTTCAAGAGAAAAA